TTTTTAGTTCTATTTTATAATTTTGAATTGCAATTCTACGGATCATCTTGTCATACCAGTTTCACCACCTTTTATATTTTTAGCCCATTCAATTTTTCAATCCAAACAAGTTTTGGGAAATGCAGTTGTAAAATGCACTATAAATGATGCAAATATTTATTAGTTTATTCATGAAATGTTCATGTGTTGAATAATTTGTCTACCTTTGTATGAATAGAAATTATGAGCATGTTGATGAAAGTCTGAAAGTTATTATTCATAGCTCTGTTCAGAGTAATTCAGTCAACAGTGAGAATGAAATATGCTTTTATTTCAAGAAAATATGTGTGAAAATTACTCATTTAAAAAAAAAGTATTCATGATCTTATTCAAAGATCTATTTTTTAGAACATATTCCATATAAGAAAAAATCTTTATCAAAAATATTGTACTTTTGTAATGTTTATTTTTTGCAGTTTTTTAAAATTAGAGTGATTTTGCCAAAAATGAGACCTGCACCAAGCTTTAAAGTACCCTTTGCTATATCCAAGAAAAAGTTTAAAGAAAAAAATTGTAGCTGTTTTTGAAAAAAATAATTGTTTGCAAAATGCCTACATTTTGCTTAAAATTACATTTTCTCTTCTTTGAAGGTCTGTCTTGGAAGAACAGATTTTATTAAGGAAAATATCTCTATCAACAAAAGTGTTGTAGAAAGATGCCCAAAAATGTTTGAACTTTTGCACTTTTTGAAAGTTTAGAGACTTCAATGAAAATGAGTCCTGCATCCTTCTGTTAAATGACCTTTGCTCTATCTGTAGAGAAAGTTTAATAAAAAACTTTAAAACCTTTTTTTTTTTGTTAAATGTTTCCTCTGGGAGAGCAAAGAATGCTCAAAACAAGCATAGGTTTCATTTTCATTAAAATTTCTGAATTTTCAAAAATTCAAACTTTTTGGCATCTTACAACTGTAATATTGAAGTTAAAGAGTTTTTTCCTGAAAGCTGTTTTTCAAAAATAGATCTATAAATAAGGTTATGTACAATTTCTCAAGAATATCAATAGTTTTTGCATAATTTTGAGTGAAATATATACAAATTTCAAGCAATCATTTTCTCAAAAATGGCTTCAAATGTTCTTCTCGTATGTAGCAAAGGATGGTCAAAAATTGGTTATGATTCAATTTTTGGCAAACTGCTGTTTTTTTCAAAAATTGCAAAAGAAAATTACCAATGAAATGAAGTCTGTTCTTTGAAAATAGATGATGAAATAATATAAATCTTTTAATATTTGAAAATTGCAAATGCAAATTTCAACTTTGTAAAGCTTCAGGAACGTTGAGTTTAGCTTCAAGGCTGGTGGTGTAGGGTAATATGAATTGCATGCTGACTCTAAGAACCTTAAATCCCAGTACAGAGGGAAAAAAATTGCTGGTTGGAAACAGCAAAGTTTTGTTGGTTCATGTAGTATTATAATGTTGTGTAGGCATTACAAATCATGCGAGAAAGAATGTTCTGTTGTAGCTCTATTAGTTGTTTATCAAACTAACTTTCTGTAAAGAGCAATTGAAGTGGTTGTCCTAGCAGGTATATAAAAAATGCTAACTTGTCCTAGCTAATGCTCAATGTGTTCTGAGAATGCAACCACTATTTCTTTCTAAAAATGAACATGAAACTTCTAAAAAAATATGAGGCATCTAGACATGAAACTTTAGTTTCCTCAAGAAAATTTCAAGAAATTGACTAAAAACAAATATTACTTCCTGTTCGAAATTTAAGATTTTAACTTATTAAAGAGAACCTGTATTCAAAATTAAATGTCTGCAGTGAAATCTTACATTTATTGCTTCTTTGTAGTTAAGTGTTGGGGAAAGCCCAGATCACTAACCACTGATGATAATTGTTCATGAAATACAATTTAGAAAATGAAAAGGTCTGAAAATATGGAGCGTAGAGATAGAACAGGCCATAACACAAAAAAAGAGTAGCACACATGAAGCATCTGCACATGAAGACCAATGAAACATGGAGAGTATACAAAGCTAAAAGAAATCACCAATCAGCATGGGAAAGATTAATAAGTGAATTAGAAAATGAGATTCATGGCAGACAACTAGCATATAAAGTATTTAGGGATATAAAGAGTGAATTAAAAGACACAGCTAATTTGAAAATTATAAAAGAAGGTCAGTGGGAACATCAAATTTAATGGTATAAGCCTGAAGATGAACATATCCAATGTGAATTGCCTGTACAAGCTTTGGTACATGACATTGATTTAGAAGAATTAGAAACAGCAATAATGGGACTAAAAAATCAAAAAGCTCCAGGACTTGACAAAATAATTGCCAAACTAATTAAATATGGAAGTTCGCTGTTAAAACTAAGAATCCTCCATCTATTCAATTTATGTTGGAAGCAATGCCGTGTCCCTGAAGAATAGCAAAAAGCAAAAGTAAAATCATTATTTAAAAAAGGGAAAAGAAGCGACTGTTGCAAATATAGAGAGATTAGTTTACTACCCACATGCTATAAAATATATGCAAAAATTTTAAATAAAAGACTTGTTAATATCTCTGAAATTTTAATTATAGATGAAGAAAATGGTTGTAGAAAAGGACACTCCTGTACAGATAATATTTTTACCATCCGACAACTAATAGGAAAGCGTAGGGTATTTAATCTAGAAACCCGTTTGGCTTTCATTGATTATGAAAAGGCTTTTGATAAATTGAAAAGCTCTACTTCATGGGAAATTATGGAAAGAAGAGAAGAAAAATATTCAAAAGAAATAAAAACATTAGTTAGAGAAGAAGAATTAAGCTTAAAAATGGAGTGTACTTAAATACACTCCTATTTGCTGATGATGAAATTATAATCCAAGAAAGTCAGGATGATGTACAAAGGTCTATTCATCAATTAAACCAAACTTGCAAAGGATATAATCTAAAGATTTCAAAAACAATGACATTTAAGGGAAAGCATTTTGTACGCACCAAAATAATTTTGGAAAATACAATGCTGGAACAAATTAGCCATTTTAAATATTTGGGCTACAATATAATATTCCTCACAGAAATGGATATAGATGAAAAAATTCATAAATAACAGAATATATGCGGAAATATTTAGCGAACTCTTAAAGATAAAACACGTAGAGATACTCTAACGAGGATATATAAAGTAATGACTGGCCCATCTCTGTTGAAGTGAATGCTGGACTCTGAGGGAGAAAGACAGGCGTTACGGTCTGCTGAAATGAAATTCTTGAGTTCTGTAAGAAAAATGTACCAGACTAGGTAAACTCTGAAATGAGGAAATTCAAAAAGAATTAAATGTTCAAGCAATCAATGACAAGGTACAGTGTTACAGAAAGGAACGGTTACAACATGTGGAGAATGGAAGAGACTCGCATTCCAAAGCAGGTGTTTAAGCATAGGAGATCCAGGTAGACTCCTAAAAAGATGGAATTCTAAGAAACCGGAACAGGTCATAGACCTATCCTTGAAGTGGAGAAGAAGAAGAAATACAATAAAATGTTAGTTTCATCATTTCAATAGCTAATATATTCTACAATTTTGACTGGCTCCAATGAATTATTTTTGTTTTGATTTTTGAAGAAAATTCTAAAACGTTTTTTTTATAAAATATAAATAATTGAGAGGTAAAAGTACTGTCATCCTGGTTTAATGATCAACAGGTAGAATTTTTATCAAAGAAGAAGTATTTAGAGGGAAAGAAGATAAAATTTACTGAATTGCCAGAGAATCATATTGAAAATTATTTTTTGTACCATCCATTTCTTTTCTGCTAAGGTAGATAAATTACTTTATGATCTTCAAGTATTTTTTAAATTACTACTATTCTTATTAGTATTACTACTTAGTTATTCAGAAAAGAGAATTATAACTTATAATTTACAAACCTAGTATTCTTCAAAGAAACTTCAACAAAGTATACTAACTAGTATACAAATATAAAATTTAATTACATGCATCATTATTTTCATCTGTTGTAATATTCTGATGAATTTCATCAAATTTTGTAGTTGTATATAGCATGCCATCACAACAACATGTTAACTATAGTCTATCCTTTCTATCAATTTCTCTTCTCTTTACTTTCAGTTTATTCTTTGTGTTTTCTCCAAATGATTAATGTGCTAGATTAATTAATGTACTAGATATTTAATAAGTACATTGAGTAAAAATTCCAAATTAGAGGACGTATACCAAAAGGTGCCCTACAAAATTGGACAAAAGAAAAATTGCACTATTATTATCCTTTCAGGCTATCATTTAGATGGAATATACTTACTCCAATTATATTTGTTGTTATTTTTCCATCAAAGTAAATACTCTTAGATAAGCAATATAGATACATACCTAGGTTACAAATTATGGAAAGACTAGCAATAAACAAAGGATACAGTTATTTATCTTTATTTTAACATTTCAAAATGAAGCCTACCCAATATATTACTAAGACCATTCCAGTATTATACAAATAAAATTATCTTACCAAGACCCTTTTTACTGATGAATGTCATTCATTATTTATTGTATCATATCGAGTTGATATTGTGAATCAATGCCTTCTAACGAGAATATAGCTAAATATTGTTACTCAACATATTCCACTGCATTGTAATTTTTCCACCATTTAACATCAACAAATGTAAAATTATTCATTTATTTTCTTTTACTCTTTCAGTGAATATTGTTGTTTGTTTAAATCACATTTTTTTGCAGGAAATATCACATGATCTGAGTATACATAATGTATCTTTGTACATTATTTATATAAGAATTACAAATTTACAAATAATGTTAGCATTTAATGTTTTATCATTCACAGCCATAATACATGTTTGTATACATTTATGCACATATGTATACATGTATTTAATGATATTTACATATGATGCATATTTGTCTTAATAAGTATATTACAACCAACACACATTAAAGGACATTTTAACATCTATTCAAGTTGCAATAAATATTATTTTTTGATTTATTTCAGTTCCTCAATATGGCCAGTGTATTCATGCGGATCTTCAACCTGATCTGCATGATGTTGCTCATTGGACACTGGTCAGGCTGCCTCCAGTTTCTGGTTCCCATGCTACAGGGTTTCCCCTCCAATTCATGGGTTGCTATAAATGAACTCCAGGTACTGATGACACTCTTAGTTCACATAATAAATGTGATAAACTGAGAGTTCTAAATGTATGACACAAGAATTCATTACAAATATTTTCTATTAAAAGACTTTATTCATTCTGTCATTTGTTCAAATTAATACAACAAAGCTATTAATACCAGTTCTTATTTAACCTGAAAATCAACTTACATAACAATTAGTTCCATAATTGTCATAAATAATGAATTAGCTCTTGTAAATAATGAATAATGTACAACTGATGGAGATTATTAATGAGAATGTTTGTTCATAAAATCAGCACAGAAAGTGTGCCTCTAATATGTCAATTATTTTTAGAATGAAAATGTCAATATTACTCAACAAAGGTTTTGAAATTACTCAATTATAATGACAGTTACAGATAATAGAGCTGTTATCTAAGAAATGATAACAGAACAAATAGCAAAAATTAATCAGATAATAGTATATACAATACAAATAATTTATTTGAGGATTTATATACTATATTCATTTTCTTTAACTTTATGTGAAAGAATGTGATAGATCTATAAACAAATTATAATTCAATGATTTATGAGTGTACCGGCATCAGGGTCAGTAACAGGAGTCCACTAAATGTAGGGTAATGGAATTCAGTTGCAAGACATTAACAACGATGGGAACATGATGTGTCCCATTCAATACTTATTATCAAAAAAACCAGATGTCCTATTTGCTCTATGCTCTTCTAAGAGTAGAATGGCATGCACACTAACATGCCCAGATGTTCATCCATGCACACACGAGAAATCTAAAATGTACTACAGTTTGTTGTAAACCGTAGTTACCACTTTACCTTCACTACACCCACCGACCTCTGTTACTACCACCATCATCACAATCACCACCATTACTAATATGAAAACACATGGACAGAAGTATGTGTAGTAAAAGACACAGAAATTTAAACATATACATATTCAAATGATGTAGAAACTGTATTGCATGTCCATTGACAACGACTAACTAGTAAATTCTGATTGCCAAAAATAGCCATGCAACTTCCCTGAAATGAAAGACATGAAAATTTGGATACATTTTTGTAACACAACTTGCTTCAAAGTGTATTTAAAGAATAATATTTTATAATACTTCTAAAACAGAATATCCATTCTGATAAACTATCTGAGGAGAATCCTGTGCTATCATTGAGGAGTTAAATTATGTATCTTACAGCAAGTTTGTAAATCATCAATGGTGATTGTGGAGAAAGGATTCACTGTCATTAGACCTTGACCTTTGAATTAGATGTAGGAATGACTTTCTGGCCTCTTAGACCCTTACATATTTCTTGCATTCTAAAAAGCTTCCTCTGGTACTTTTGAATTTTGTGATAAGAAATAGGTCATTATAACTTGTATAAATCCTCAAACATATGCACATAATGTAAATACAAAGGTTCTTTTTGAAATTTTGAGATGCGTACCAAATAATTTGCATTCTACATCCATAATTTATAGTAATATAGTATAAATGTTACATTATGGATGGAAATAGATTATTATAATAATCAATAATTCAAATTGCTTCTTTGATTCCAAGTGTCATTTATAAGCATTTCAGTACAATGTTTACAAACGAAAAGAATTAGTAAGAAAAATTTGCACATTTTATCAACAGAATTATTTTCTTGTTTTTTCAATGTTCTTTAAAACAAATGTGTTTAATTTTAGATCTGAAAATTAGAAATTATCTCTTAAGTATTTACTCACAATTTTCATTTTTGGTTGATACTGTGCTAAGTGTATTTTTGATAAATAATACCTGCCTCACCTAATTTTAAAAAAATGTATTTATCAATATTGTAAAGCAAATGACAGAACTTTATTCAAAGCAATTGAAAAAAAAGGCTTTGCTTCTTATGCTATATAATTTCCCTGATGCATAAAATGTCCTTAATTCAAAACTCCAAAATGAAATGAATATGTTAATTTCGATGTATATTTTTTTCTACAGGAAGCATTTTGGTTGGAACAGTATTCTTGGGCTTTATTTAAAGCAATGTCACATATGTTGTGCATTGGTTACGGCCGCTTCCCACCCCAATCCCTTACAGACATGTGGCTTACGATGCTGTCCATGATAAGTGGTGCTACTTGTTATGCATTATTTTTGGGTCATGCCACGAATCTTATTCAGAGTTTGGATTCATCACGTCGACAGTACCGAGAAAAGGTATGACATTTTAGAATAGATAATGTTTCTTTTTGCATAGTAATAAGAAATTTTTTAATTATTATCATTATTACATTAATATTGAAGTGTTAAAAATTTTGCAATGAAAATTAAATGAAGAATATTTTTTGGGTATTTTTCTCTTTTAAAGGTCAAACAAGTTGAAGAATACATGGCATATAGAAAGTTACCAAGAGAAATGCGCCAAAGAATTACAGAATATTTTGAGCACAGATACCAAGGCAAATTCTTTGATGAAGAGGCAATATTAGGAGAATTATCAGAGAAACTTCGGGAGGTAAAACTTTTTATCTGTTAATGCTCACATTTTGCTACATTATAATATTTATATCTGAAATGGATATTTTTATACATAGAACAGTTATTTTTAAATGCATCAACAATTCATAAATCATTGAAAATAACACCAAAAAATAATATGAACGGGAAACAACAATAATTTATTATAGAATGACTTGGGTAATTAACAAGAGAGGCTATCATTGAGAGAATGAAACTCTCTTTATCATATGTTTTGCATTGTGAAGTCCCATTGCAAACCATTATAATGCTTTACTCTTAAGTCATAATTTTGTGTAATTTCATGTCATATTTTGATTTAATGGCCGAGAACATTCATGATGTAATTACTGAAAAATCTATTTCTCATAAAAATATATTTAATTAAAATAGAATTCATAAATTCCAATTCATTTTATTTTGTAATTTTCATTCATTTCATATTTGCATATTGGGGGTGGTAACACTGAGTACAGAACCACTCCTATCTCTGTCTCCTTGCATCCACTCTGTTGTGCTGTTGACTCTCAACTGATGTCATAATCTTGGAACACGTACTAGGAAACGTCAAAGGTGTATGTCCTCCTTGGCAGCCTTGCACAGAGCCATGCATTGTGCCTCTATAGTGGAAATTGCGACCGTCCTTTTTCTTCCTTGAGACCCATGTTACGGGTCTGTTTGTATGGTGATCACATGTCCGGTGAATGACAGCCTGTCATCCATCGGCCCAGCGTAGTCAGCATCCACGTATCCAACGGTGGAAGAGTCCCTTACCCCATACCTAATTCCTTAAGTTCACTGTGCATTTTAGGTATCACATTACCTTCTACTGCTTGCCAGTGAGATTTTCCAAATGAGTCATTGCATTGAGCAATCACTCTCGCAGCATGGGCGATGTCTAGGCGTGTCGCCACAGACAGATACGGGTGGCAGCCCACGAGCTCACAACAGGTTTGACCCACGAGCTCACGATAGGGTGGTCTGTCGCCGTCACTCAACCCACTCATCAGCCTTGGTGAGGTTTGAGTCAGGCGCAAAGGGCGTGGATACAGGATGGCACTCATATATGTTGAATTGACATAAGATGTCTTCTACATACGTCTTCTGATTCATAAAGATAGATTCCTCATCCACCTTGATTTCTATCCCCTAGCAACGCTCCAGACTGTAGTCTTCGCCTAGAAAAGACTTCCATCCTTTGGTCTTCCTCACTCCCTCCCTCGCTCTTCTAATAGTTTCCTTCTTTAGGTCTGGGCACCACCTTGTAGGTATTCTTCTCGAGTATGGATTTTACTTGACTCACTATAACCATTCATGTGAGTCTTCGCCTGAAAGGGCTTGCTTGATCAGAACTTCGGTCAAGCTTGCAACCTCAAACCTATCCAGATCAAGTCCCCTAAGTAGCCCACTAACAAAGTGCTTGAAGTCGGATACGTTTGGTTCCCTTCCAAACCAGAGTTCATAGAGCGTCTTCCCGTTCAGCTTTAGCGAAGGGCATCGGCTGGTCTGGTCACTGCCTCAGCCCAGAGAGACGAAAGCAGTGATGTAATTTGGCAACCGCCTACATTTGCCGTCAGGCAGGACACATGGTCCCATATCACTCCTACTGCACATGCCCCTTACCATCACAGAGTCTCCGCCAGCTTGAACAGTCCCCTGTTGACATGCCATACTCATACACGTCTATCCGTTCGAAATAATGTGAAACGAGACTCGTCAGACCAGTCAAAGTGTTTGCAGTCATTAACAGTCCAAAGTCGGTGTTGACGGGCTCAGGCGAGGCGTAAAGCTTTGTGCCGTGCTGCCATCAAGGGTACACGATGGGGCCTTCGGCTCCGAACCCCATATTGATAATGCCTCGTTGAATGGTTCGCACACTGACACTTATTGATGGCCCAGCATTGAAATTCGCGGCAATTTGCGGAAGGGTTGCACTTCTGTCACACGTAATGATTCTCCGCATTCGTCGTCGGACCCGTTGTTGCACAATGTTTGATATTTTTACCGGATTCCCGATGTTCATGATACGCTCGTGAAACGGTCGTACCGGAAAATCCAAATTTTTCGGGACCTCAGAGATGCTATGCCCCATCTCTCTTGCGCCGACTATAACACCACGTTCAAACCCATTTAAATAGTGATATCCTGCTATTGTAGCAGCAGTAACCGATCTAACAATTGTGCCAGACTTAAGTTGTCTTTTATTGTCGTTGCCGACAGGAGCGCCGTATTCTGATTGGTTCCAGATATTTTTATTTCAGTATGCAGGCTGTACCAGTTTCTGTGGCTCTTGAATGTTGTATGTATGTATATATGTATGTATGTATGTGTATATATATTGTAACGTAGTCGAAAATCGTAAAAATCGAAAAAAATTGTAACGACGTCGCATTTATATCATTCGACGTCGAAAATCTTGGTGGGATTAGCTCCCAGTAAGTTGAGACTATGTTCGGGGTGACGGCTCCGTGGAATAGTTTCCTTTAATTAGGAATTAGGTGTGCTCAACATGCTCTATTGAATGAAAATCAAAATTCCTTCATCGTGGGTCTTGATGGGAGCGCATAGTTGATTCTTAAAATGCTGTAATTACTATTACAATGGATTTACATTGCAATTTTCTTGACGGTCTGAAATTTTACATACAATCAGACTACAATTATCATATATTATGATGATTCTTTCTTGAAGTCTTCTAGTTCATTCCTTAATTTTCCAATCACTTCACTGAAGTTACTGTGACGCGACTCGTGATTACAAAACATACCTACTTACAATTTCTATGAAGTTTTTGAAAGGACGGTCGCCATTAGAGGAAGCTATACGTTGATACGGCGGTCGCGTCGTTGGAACGCTCCTCTCTGTTGTGAGAAAGGCGGGCAGGCTGCGCGGCGGCTGTTCAGAAATCATTGACCCTGAAGGTCGGATGATGACGGAGTTGTGGTGATCACAACAGTGCCAGGTGGTCAGTTGCTAGGACGGATTCTCTTTCTCTCGTACCGTGTACAGATGCGTGCTGCAGGCGGATTCGTGCCACAGAAAAATCAGGGTTTTCAACGAGCATTAGACTTGCGCCATTTTATCAAACGTCCTTCACACTATCCAACAACAAAGTTGAATCAAAAACGAACATTTTTTGAAAATGTTCCAGCAGCTTCACTTATCGGTTTCAAATTCAAGTGGCCGCGACATATCCCGATCAATATGGAAATATCAATTTTGGAGATAATCGGCTTTAACCGCTATCGTTGTTCACAACGGACAGACGATTTTTCCGTATCAAGAACCCACACCATATGAATTCTGGCTACATCACGTATTAGAGGATGTTTTCTAAATTTAGCAACTGAATTTATCCACTTTTTTGTTACCAGGACCCAGCAATAAGAGTTTTTCTGTCGAAAATTCGCCTTTTTTCCCCCCGCGGCATTACATGACTTTCTCTTCTTAAGAGGGAGAATGTAAAAAGAACGGCTTAGGTGGCTCTAGGTATCAATTAACGTCATTGCAGTAACTCTGACCGGCAGGTCCTAGGGTTGGAGTGCCGACGGTGGCAGGATTTTCGACACTCACTGCATAGCTAAGTCGACTTCAGCCCCTGTCTGGAAGAGAATTCTAGCGTCCGGCTTCTCTTATCGGTAGTTTTCTGCGGTTTATATTAAGTCTCAACATCTTCAGTTTTCTCAAAAATGGATCCAATTTTTTTATTAAACATTGATCTCGGATAGCGAAAAAAACGCTTAAAAGAAAGGCCCACGTCACATTTTCGTTAAAATCCCTAATATTTCGAAAATTTGTTAAAGTTCAAAATATTTAATCTTCGTACAACTACAATATGAAGAATAGATTTTTCTGTAATGAAAGCATCAAAGACTGATATTGAAATGAAGTCACGTACAATTTTCTGTAATATGAGTACTTTTCACGTAATTTTCCATGAATTTTAAGCCAATTTTAACAATTACTTTCTCGAAAACAACTCCAACAAGTTTTTTTTTCCAAGAAAGCATTAGCACGCCTAAAAGTGGAGGAAGTCCCATTTTCGGCGAACTCTTTGTATTTTCGAAACTTGCAAAAATCAACATCGCAAAAGTACAATATTGATAGGGATTTAAAAAAAATCTGTTCTTTAAATAAAAATAGATCTTTAAATAAGGTCATGTACAATTTTTGAAAAGAGTAGTTTACACGTAATTTCTACTTGAAATTAATATAATTGGTAAAAAGAATTGTTACAACTGCTCCATATTTTTTAATTTTTTTTTGTATGGCCAGTGCAAAGAAAGCTTAAAAATGGCACCGGTCTAGTTTTTGTTGAAGTCCCTGAGCTTTTAAAAATTGATAAAGTTAGAAATAGTTCGAGAACATATATGCTGTTGTAGCACCACTAGTTTGTTAACAAAATTGTTCTTCGGAGAGAGATCTTTAAATAAGATCATATTCAATTTTTCGAGAATAGTTTTTACGCAATTTTGCGAAAAATTTAGGCATTTTTAAACTATTACTGTTTAAAAGCTTCAACTATTTTCTTTAAATTCTTTCCTGGAATATAGAAAAGGGCTCTTAATAGAAAAGGGGGCCCAGTGGAAGGAAAAAAGGGGCCCAGAAAAGAGGGCCTCTTCTTTTAAGCAACGCATGCCTATGATAACTACATTCCCCACTACTCAAGAAAAGGTGCACATATAATGAAACTACATTTATGTCCAGAAGCAAAACAAGGGGCCCATCTCTGCATTTGCTCAAGGTATTGAGGAAACTGAATGAAAAACCAGTTCGAGATGGGGGTCACTTACCAAGGTGCTCAGGTACCATACATGATACAGACATATTAGAATTAGTTTTAGAATTATACAGTCGAAAAGGTAATTAATACATTAAATATCATAGTTATAATCAGTTTTATTTTCCTTTTTGGTGTCTGATATGGTCTCTAATTGTATAGAAAGTGTTATGCAACAGAAAATATTTTACTTCACACTTCAAACTGTATCGATTTCA